TGGACATGTTTACCATTACTGTATGTACAGAATACAGTCAAAAGCTACATGCATGCTACACGTAGTGGAAGACTGTGTGTGTGGATGTTTCCGAGAGATGGGTTGCGGCTGGAAGGGGATCCGCTGCGTAAAAACTTGCTGGATAAGTTGGCGGTTCATTCCACTGTGGCGACCCCGGATTAATGAAGGGACTAAGCCGACAAGAAAATGAATGAATGATGAAATAATATTTTACTAGATATTTTTCAAGATACTTACAGCTTAAAGTGACATTTAAAGGCTTAACTAGGTTAATTAGGTTAACTAGGCAGGTTAGGGTAATTAGGCAAGCTATTGTATAAGGATGTTCTGTATACTATCGAAAAAAATATATAGCTTAAAGGGGCTAATAATATTGACCTTAACATGGCTTTTTTTAAAAATTTATAACTGCTTTTAATCTAGCTGAAATAAAAGAAATAAAACTTTTTCCAAAAGAAAAAAAATGTTATCAGACATACTGTAAAAATGTCTTTGCTCTGTTAAACATCTGGGAAATATTTAAAAAAGAAAAGAAAATTCAAAGGGGGGCTAATAATTCTGACTTCAACTGTAATACTAATGTCACATCACATCAAACAAACGTTTCTCTTTCAGATGGCAAATTATAAATGAATAGTATTAAAATGGTCCCAAAACCTGATTTACAGTTTGTGTTTGTGGTGGGTCAGTTTATAAGTATTTCTGCCATTATGCATTGATTTTCCACACCCATTTGTGTTTTTTTAGGGTACTGGTCTTATATTGGTTTTCTCTGTTTAGTAAATCTGGCCCTTCTATTGTATTATTACAGAAAAATTATATTACATTTATTACTCTCTTTTTATATTGCACAATTCTGCACTTCTCCCCAAGAAAATCACATATTTCAAATGCACATTCTTCAGATAAAACTTCCTGTATAAAATAAAATAAAATAAAATAAAGGGCTTCATGGTGGCACAGTGAAAAGGACTAATGCCTCACAGCAAGAAGGTCACTGGTTCAAGCCTCAGGTAGGTCAGGTGGTATTTCTGTGTGGAGTTTGCATGTTCTCCCAATGTTCACATAGATTTTCTCGGGGTGTTCCAGTTTCACCCACAACTCCAAAGACATGCGCTATAGGTAAATTGGGTAAGCTGAATGATCCATAGTGTATGTGTGTGAATGAGTGTGTACTGTATGGGTGTTTCCCAGCACTGGGTTGCACCTGGAAGGGCATTCAGCCCAGATTAATAAAGGGACTAAGCCGAAAAGAAAATGAATAAATGAAAATAAAATATAATAAAATACAACTATTGCAGAGCCATTAATCTTTTTCTCTATTTTCTTTTTTATGTTGCGACGCTATGTTATCAAACCCTCTATTTCAATGTGCAAATCTTTACAATCTCCTTGACTTTGGTAAGCCATGCTGTAAAAAAACCATCCACCAGTCTGACTGTGTGAGCCATGAGATCTCCCACTGACAAGAATGCATGTGCAGTGATGCATGATGCCCTCTGTTAGCTTAACGGTTTGTTTTACTCTCAGGTTCACTGACCTCAGCCTGTGAACATATGAGTGTACAGAGCTAAGATGCCTCTCATGCCTGCAGTCGCCTCTTTCTTTCTCTCTCTCTTTCGCTTTTAAATAGTGTCTTAGAGCATTTCCTCATCCGACACATTTCCATTGAGCTTGATCTTATCTTTACTAACCACTAGACACTAGAAGTTGTGGCGACTGGCTTGTGTGTTCTTCCTATGTATCTATACTATAATCAGACTAATGTACAGCCAGAAACAGAGCGATCACCCATGGGTTTGCATGCAGATGTCTAGTAAATCCTCCTCCTCTGTAATTCATTCTCTGACTTGCCACAAAGGAAGTGAAATTAAGCAGATGTGGGTAGTTTTTCATGGATAGAGAGCTACTGATTCTGACACTCTGCTGTGAGGCGAGCGCTATATCTGGATGAATCTGTGTCAGCTACGGAGGATTACATGATTTAAGATTCAAAACAAAAAATTAAATTAAATAAAATACTAATAATAATAACGGGCGACACAGCGGCGCGGTAGGTAGTGCTGTCGCCTCACAGCAAGAAAGGTTGCTGGTTCGAGCCTTGGCCGGGTCAGTTGGCATTTCTGTGTGGAGTTTGCATGTTCTCCCTGCGTTCGTGTGGGTTTCCTCTGGGTGCTCCGGTTTCCCTCACAGTCCAAAGACATGCGGTACAGGTGAATTGGCTAGGCTAAATTGTCAGTAGTGTATGAGTGTGTGTGGATGTTTCACAGAGATGGGTTGCAGCTGGAAGAGCATCCGCTACATAAAAAAAACGTGCTGGACAAGTTGGCGTTTCGTTCCGCTGTGGCGATCCCGGATTAATAAAGGGACTAAGCGACAAGAAAATAAATGAATAAATATAATAATAATAATAATAATAATAATAATAATATTCAGTGCAAAAATATTCAAGCAGATATACACTACCGGTCAAAAGTTTGTCAGTCAGTTTGAGTCAGTTTTTTTTTTTCTTGTTTTTTTTTTTTAAAGAAAATTTTTTTTTTCATCAAGGTGGCATTTATTAAATGTAAAGAAATTGTTAAATATTTATTAAAATTTAAAGGAACTGCTTTCTTATTGTATGTAGTTTCAATTGAAATGATTACTCCAGTCATTATTGCTTTTAGTACTAATATCATTAATAATAATAATAAAAATAATAATATATAAGCGTGACTTCTAAAGGATCCTGTGACTCTGAAGACTGGAGTAATGAAACTGAAAATTCATCTTGAAAATCCCTGGAATAAATGATTAAATTAAAGATGCAGTATGTTAGTTTGACATCCAGTGGTTGAACTAGGTATTGTTTTCCTGGATCAAAACAAACGCAACCACAGGTTGCCAGATTGAGGACCAACAAGACTGATTTAAATCATGTTCTAAATAAAAGTAAAAGTAAAATTCATTGTTTGAAATTGAACTTTAGAACTGTGACTCAAAGCCAACACATATCAGTGATTCAGCATTTACATTTCAAAACGTTAAAGAGGTTTAATATGTATTAATTAATAAACCTTACCATTTTGTGAGTGAGTGAGTTCTGAATGGCTGTATTTCAATTTCTGCTGTGTTTCTTCTGGTGGAAATCCCTCCCATATTCATAGTCTTCCTTCACAGTTCGTGCAGATATGATATATGCTAATGATTCAGTACAGCACCACTGCACACTGTTACAATACAATTTGCAAGACTAATTTAATAATCTCAAAATAGGCTTGGTTTATTACAGATTCTTTGATCGCAAAACTATTTACACTGCAAAAATGGAAATAGAAAATAAAGTTGTTGTTTTTTGGGATATTTAGAGTGCAGTGATTAATATTTCATAAAGTAGTCATAGTTGAGATTAAAAGTAATCTCAACATTAATTAATTAATTTTCCGTCCGCTTAGTGCCTTATTTATCAGGGGTCGATACAGCAGAATGACCCGCCAACTATTCCCGCATATGTTTTATGTAGTGGATGTCCTTCCAGCCGCAAACCAGTAATGGGAAACACCCAAACACTCTTGTGTTTACACACACACATACACTACGTCCAATTTAGTTTGTGCAATTCACTTATACCGCATGTCTTTGGACTGTGGGGGAAACCGGAGCACCCGGAGGCAACTCACGATAACACAGGGGAACATGCAAACTTAACACAGAAATGCCAACTACCCAGCCGGGACTCAAACCAGCAACCTTCTTGCTGTGAGGCAACAGTGCTAAGCACTGAGCCACTGTGCCGCTCATCTCAACTTACATCAGTCAAACTGACTAAAAGTATTAGGTCAACTTTGTATACCTAAAGAAAACGTGTTGAAATCTGATCAACCGATTAATAATATTGGCTTAAGTAACATTTTTTTCATGACTTTTTTTCATATAATTTTTTTACAGCGTATTTTTCTACTAAAACTAAACATCGAGTGAATGTGGAGAAATTTTATAACAATGTTCCATTTGATGCATTTATTATTTAAAATAATATATAAATAATATAATATAAAAATATATATTTATTCCTTTTGAAATGCATCAATGATAAATTAATGATAAATACAGAACATATAATCTAGGAACTATCAGTATTAGAATTGAAACCGTTCAAAATATCTTCTTTTGTGTTTAACAGAAGAAACTCAAAGTTTGCAATCACCTGAGGGTGAGTAAATTTCCATTTTGTGTGAACTATCCACTTAAATCACGATAGATCCAACTTTCATTAAATGGTGCCCAGAATATGACACATTAATAATATAGTAATAATAATAATAAAGGAGCGGTGTGGTTCTGTACCCGAAAGCAAAGAGGAGATTCCTGAAGCTCTGTCCCACTGATCCACACTTGTGAAAGGTGATCCGGGGATTAGACTGGTGTTGGTTCAGGCTGGTCCAGGACAGAAAGACAGACAGAAGGACAGGGACTGTCACCCTGCCAGAGCCTCGAGTCATTGAGAGGTGAAAGCTGCTGAAAAAGAGGATGAGCAGGACAGGCACGAGGGGACGGATAGGGTCACTGAGGTCACAGCAGGGAATTATGGTTGATGAGTAACAGAGAGACCAGATTAATGTGGCCATTAATACCAGATGGAAATAGGATAGGACTAGAAAGAACAAAATGTTATCACTTTGCACGGTTTGTTAAATGAAGTGGGTGAAGTGGCATGTTACTGTAATTGTCGCAACACAGGCTCATTCTGAAAACGCAGCCCTGTATACATTTCTGGAGATTGTGTAGCCATAAGTACGTATGGCTGCATTTTGTCTTTAAAATGAATGCTACGGGGCGGTATCGGTATGATGAAGTTCCTTTTCGCACTAACCGGCTGACCGCTTTCCTCCATGTGGATGGCTTTCCCACTGTTACCAGTTTGTCCAGTAGCTCGCCATGTACGTTGGCAGACTTGAGATGCAGAGAGAAGTTGACCACGATGACAGGGTTTGAGTCCGGTGAAGAATGGTTTCAGAAAGCGGGTAAGACTAAAACAGAAGCCAAAAAATAAAATAAAAAAGTAAATAACAGAGTGAGAATGTGGTAAAATATGAAAACTAAAAATCAGGCGAGGGCTTTTCTTATTCTGGATTGCTTTTTAAAACTGTCAGTTGGGTTTAGAAGAGAGGGGAGGCGAGTCAATCGGTGCCTTTGAAAACACTTTGTTGGGTTTAGGGAAGGAGAGGAGGTGGGTCAGTCGATCAGTCATTCAGTCAGTCAGTCAATCAGTCAAAAGCGGCCCCTGGTGGATTTACGCGAGAAGAGCAGGTGCGAATGGCACTCGCAAGAGAAATTTGAGATCTGAAAAAGCGTACACACAAAAAACTTTTGGCTGCTAAAATATTTCAGCCAAATTGTATTAAGAAAAAATGGTTAAATTGTAAAAATAAAAAAAATTTGAAATGCGTTCATCAGTCAAAAATCTAACATTAAGCCAATTACACTATACATACAATAAAAAAATAAACAATTTTTATATGAAAATTATAAAAAAAATTAAATGTCTATAAATCAAATTTCAAGCTAAATAAGTTAAAATATTTAATTAAAATATATAAAAGAAATAAATATTAGGTTCAGCAATATGGTGGCTCAGTGGTTAGCACTGTTGCCTCACAGCAAGAAGGTCACTGGTGGAGTTTGAATGTTCTCCCAGTGTTCGAGTAGGTTTCCTCCGGGTGCTCCGGTTTACCCCACAGTCCAAAGACATGGGCTTTAGGTGAATTGAATAAACTAAGTTGGCTGTAGTGTATGTGTGTGAATGAGTGTGTATGGATGTTTCCCAGTACTGGGTTGCAGCTGGAAGGGCATCTGCCATGTAAAACATGCTGGATAAGTGGTGGTTCTTTCCGCTGTGGCGACCCCTGATGAATAAAGGGACTAAGCCAAAGGAAAATGACTGAATGCATGCATTTTAAGTTTATGTACATGGTAGACATATGGACTTTTTCCCTCTTTAGGACTCTAGTTCAATCCAATTGGATTCTAGTTCAATCCAATTTTAGGTTTAAAAAAAAACACAAACACAATTCAATTATGTCTACAAAATTAAAAAAAAATCTACAGGTTTTAAAATCCTCTAAAAGAAATGAATTCATATGTGTTCAAACTTATAACTGCTATAGTGTAAATATAGATCAATATTTGATGATGCTGGATCTTTGTCAGGTGCACCGCATGACCTATTCTGTTTCAGAAAAGGGCCCCTGTGACCCCACCAGTGGGGGACAGAAGCCATCAGCACTTCTCTGCGCTAACAAAGAGCTCCCTTTGCCAAGCCAAATAGGTGTGTGTGGTTGATGCAGTATTACCTCATGCAGAGTCACTTATCTGTCTTCTGCTGGATGACCTTGCGCTGACCTACAGGAGTATCTTTTTCACCTGTCTGCACATAAACTGTTGCCATTGGCTATAGTTGCTCTGATTCACACTGACTGCTCTGGTCATTCGACAACAAGAGTCTCTGTTTGTACAGCAGTATATAGAGACAGGAGCCATTTAAAACAACAAGGGTGGAGAAGTTTTTGACCCTCTGACTCCCTCCTGTGGCCATGTCAGGGCGAGAGGTGTCTGTCTGAACAGAGCTAAAACGTTTTCAAATGTTCAAATACTTTTAGAAATCGATTATCAAGAGCTTTTAAGCATTATGAATATATATATAGTTGAAGTCAGAATTATTAGCACCCTTGAATTATTAGCACCCCTGTTTCCCCCCCCTAGGTGAATTAGTTCAAATAGGATTTTTTTTTTTTTCAATAAAACTGTTTTTACAATAGTCGAAATGAAAGAAATGAAAAAATAATTCTTCAGAAAAGAAAGTCTAAAAAAATATTATCAGACAGTGTGACATAATTAGACATAGTTAAACATAATTTGGAAAATATTTTAAAAATAAATATTCCAGGGGAGGGGTCAATAATTCTGATTTCAACTTTGTATATGTATATATATATATATATATATATATATATATATATATATACAATGACAAATATTTTTGATTACTGCAGTAATAATAAAATATTCTGAATAATCTTTTCAAATAAATGTAGGTGGAAATGACTTCATTTGACTTTTTATGAAAGTAAATTGTTTATAAATGTATGCAACTTTATTTTCAGTTGAATTCATACCATGTAATCAAATACAAATAACACCTTTTCTAAGGGGTCAGAATAACTTTTTCACCTAGCAAGAGAGGAGCCAATAAAATAAGAAGCTGCATAGCAACATTCATGCAATAATATGGAAGCCATAAACACCTTTAGCAACTATTACATGACTCAGAACACTCTAAAACACCCTAGCAACCACTCAAAATAGGATTTTGAAACCATAGAAAAATACGCCAAAACATGTGTACAACAGCCTAACAACCACCTGGAACATCCTAGCAAGACCCTATTAGCTACTCAGAACAATGCATATCCAGTGGGGTAAAGTAACAAATTACAAATACTCAAATTACTGAAATTGATTAATTTTTCTCAGAAATTGTAATTTTAGCAGTTTTAAAAATGTGTATTTTTACTTCCCTTGAGTACATTTTAGTACAGTATCTGTACTTTTACTTCACTACTTTCCTTCATTCTGCAGTAACTATATTTTCTTGTCTATGGGGATTAGAAAACATCAATGTCCAACGTCCAACTTAAAATCAACCAAATATTAACGTCTAATGATGTTACAGCTGATGTTGTGTGGACGTTACCACTATGACGTTAATCAAATGTAGGATTTTGGTTGCCATACCTAACGAATAAATGCCAGTGTTTGACATCAATATGATTTTGACATCACGTTGGATTTTGGGTACTTTCTTAAAATTTTAAATCAACCAAATATCAACATCATTTGATGTTGTTATTGGACATCAAAATAATTGTCCTTAGACGATGGCTAAACATAGAATATGGGTAACCTCACATCGAACTAAATCGAACCTAATATCAATGTCTTATGATGTTATGTGCCTGCAGGGCAATAATTAATGCACTACAGAATGTTACGTTTACACACACATCCACAAATTACATGTAAATGCATCAACTTTTCAGTGTAATACTCCATACTCTTGAGTACTTTTGAAAGGTCTACATTCTGCTCATACTTTAAGTAATATTTACAACAGATACTTTTACTCTACTGGTACTGGTACATCCACAGAAGTAGGGGTATTTTTACTTAAGTATGTTTTTTCAGTACTCTTTCCACAACTGTCCACATCGCAACACCCAATCAACCAACAAAAATACCTTGGCAACCACTCAAACAAATTGGAAACCAAATGCCAATAACAAACTTTTAGCAACATACCAACAACCACCCAGTTAAAAACTGCATGACATCACCCTAGCACTCTCAGAAACCAGTAATACCCCTGCAATACCCTAGAAACAACCCAGAACACTCTTAGCAACCTTACCACTTGATTTACCTTGGCACCTACATAGCAACACCACGACAATTTATGAAATTGACCCATTGATTGCATAGTATGGAAAAAATAACTCAATGGGTACCATCAACCAGCAATTTTCAAAACATCTTCTTTTGTGTTCAACAGAAGAAAAAAAAATCAAATAGGAATAAGTGAAATGAGTAAATGATGACAGAGATAGAATTTTTGGGAAAAATATCTTGTTCATAGGCCAGCATGGTGGCTCAGTAGTTGGCACTCGCCTCAGAGCAAGAAGGTCGCTGGTTTGAGTCCTGGCTGGGCCAGTTGGTGTTTCAGTGTGGATTTCACGTTTTCCCCATGTTTGCATCGGTTCCCTCCCGGTGCTCTGGTCCACAGACATGCAGTATAAGCTTAGTTGGCCGTAGTGTATGAGTTGTGGGTTGCAGCTGGAAGAGCATCTGCCGCATAAAACATATGCCAGAGTTATTGACGGTTCATTTTGCTGTGGCGACCCCAGATAAATCAGAGACTACGCCGAAAAGTATAGAGTGAGTGTCTTTTTAATGCCTTACCTAATGCTAATAAATGAAACATTACTATAAAGCAGGGGTGTCCAAACTTGGTCCTGGATGGCCAGTGTTCTGCAAAGTTTAGCTCCAACTTCCTTCAACACACCTCTCTGGAGGTTTCTAGCATGCCTAAAATAAGCTTGATTAGCTGGTTCAGGTGTGTTTAATTGGGGTTGGAACAAAAATACGCAGGACACCAGCCCTGAGTTTGGACACCCCTGCTATGAAGTGTTATTCAATTCCCTTCAGTTTAAACTTGAACTTTGCTATTTTCGTGGTCAGTGGCTTCACCTCTGAGCAAAGTCTTGAGAAGCCACAGCAGTTCATGGAAAAAGGCATGTCACATTTGCAGATTTAAGTCATGAGAAACTGTCTTAGAAAGAAAATCTGACTGGAGAGTTGGTCAGCGCAGGATGTGACCCTCAAGGTTCACTGACATACAGAGGGTGAGCGATTGATGCTGATCAGGCCGTGGAGCAGGTTGACATCGAACAAGAGCCGGTGTAACCAGAGCGCTGAGAAACACACGGCCACAAAGTCTTCAGGAGTAGTTTGACTAGTGCACTCAAAACAAGAAAGAAAGAAAAAGGGCCCATAAACGTCCGTGAATCCTCTGATGGAGATGTCCTAGGCATGCTTGGATCTTCAAAGGGTGCAGGTGAGAGAGTCATTGTGCTCCCTGACGTCTCACGTTACCCTTTTAGCTCCCAAAGGGGGGCAGAACATCAAAGAGGAGGCTTAAAAAGCCTGTCATTGCTCACCTCCACATACCTGCAGTCCGTAGTCTCACTCCCGTCTGCTCGGGCCAACAGCTGCAACTCAAAGGAAGAGCTCTTAACTGTATTCTGTCAAGACAAACAATGGGGCTCTTCCAAAGGGCTCGCCCCCAAGCTGAGTGATTGGCATATATAAGGATATGATGGGATTATTTAATTCATCTGTGACAAATGGATACAGATGCTTTGAGACCTGAAGAAGAGTAATGCATTTTTATGGTGTAAAATCAACAAAGTCATAT